TGTCTTCAGGGAGCGAGGTTGGGAAAGGTGATGGTGTGCTAAGAGACATGGTAAAGAGATGCTGGGAGCTGAGAGATGGGGGAAATGAGATGATGGAGACAGACTGTGGGGCCAGGCAGTAGGAGATAGGAGTCAGGGAGCCAATGTGGGGATAGAGGAAAGGATTTTTTAAAAGATGGATGAAGAGGCAATGGAGGGTGGGAATAGGGGACAAGGGGAAGACCATGATAAGAAGACCTGGAGCAGTGGGCAGGGCAGGAAGAGATCCATGTAGGGAAAGTTGAAGCAATGGTTTTGGAGCAGGGGCTGAGAAAGGAGGGCTACTAATGGGGGACTTTGGTGGGGGTGGGGGCAGAGGCTGCTTACCACCCTTGTGCTCTCACTGGCCTAGGTGGGTGGCCTACCAGTACCCAGGCTACCGGGGCTACCAGTATGTACTGGAGCGGGACCGGCACAGTGGGGAGTTCCGTAACTACAGTGAATTTGGCACGCAGGCCCACACCGGGCTGCTGCAGTCCATTCGAAGAGTCCAGCATTAAGCTTCGCAGTCTTGACATCTCCCCTGAGGACCCTCAATAAAGGCTCCTGAACCTGCCTGCCCCTCTTGCCTCTTTCTTGATGTCTTGCTTTGTAATCTTCATCCTAATTCTTCTTAAGGTCCTTGCCTGCCAACCTGACCCTCCTCTCAGGTTTTAGGATTCTTGACTATGGAGCATAAACGGGCTGAGGATATATGTGGCTAGACCCTGATAGGGCTGAGAAAACTACTGGTAAGAATCCTGGGGGTCCTGTTAAATACAACCAGTCCCACACCTCTCCTTGGTAAAGACTGATGAGCTTGGGCCATGTGTACCATAGCACACATGGTGCCTCTGCCATCCTCTGGTTTGGGTGCGCACAGTCCTACAGCAGGGCTCATAGCTGAATTTCAACCACCTGGGCCAGGCACCTGAATGCCTGCACAGCAGGACCTCTTTAACGCTATGCAGAGCTCCCCAGCACATTTCCAGCCTTTCTCTTTGCCCTGGCTCCCTATCCAACTGAGCAAACCCTGTACCCTTTTCCCAGCTTTATAGAATTTCTGCTTTACAAAGAAGCAAAGCTGTAAGAGGAGAGATGGGCGAGAGGTCCCACTGCCTCCCAGGGCCTTCTAAAGGGGAGACTTTCTCTGAGTGGAGCCCCCAGATCCTTTGTCTGAATCATAACAATCCCATCATGATATTGAGTTCTGGCATTGACAAAGCATTTTCATACCCTTCCTCTCAGCTGTTCCAAAGAACCCTCTCTTCATTCTTCCTCTCCCTCCCCTCTCTTCAGAGGATTGGTGATTTGGAGAGGCCACTCCTCACCCACTGACCACAGTGAGTCTGGATTCTGGAGCAGGTGGCAGAAGCCCTCAGGCATGCTGGGGCTGAGTGGTAGCAGCCACCAGAGCCCCTGGCACCAGTGCAGGTTCTACCCAGTTCCCCATTTGGCCCAGTTAATGACACTCATCATCCCACATAGGCAGGGCCCTCAAAGCCCTTGGGACTCCCCTCATTCTGTCATTCAGGGATGCTTGTGATTTCAAGCCCCTAGGGGACCTATCAATGAGGAGGAGTGGCCCAGGTCATCGCCCAAACCCAGAGGAGGTAACCAATATCAGAGAACAGTTAGACTTGGACTTGAGCCATTCCTAAGGGTCCACCTGTGCAAAGTCAGGCATCTGCTCCTGTGGGAAGAGCCCTGGACTACAAGTCAGAACATCTGGGATCTAATCATATAGCATCCTTGAACCTCCATTCCCTCACTTGTAAAGTGGGGCTATTGATCCCCACCTTGTTGGTCTCACGGAGTTGTGAGGATTCAAGGAGAAACCACTAAAAATGTTTGTGGTATTATGAAAAAGCACTGGGGCCATCCAAGTAGGGCCTTCATTCTCCTGCACTGGTCCCCCGCCACCATGGATTCCAGGGTAGGGTCGAGGGAGCAAGGGACAGAATTCTGGATAGGGTATGAGTTCTGCTTTCTAAATGGATGGGTTCTAGAGCCCATGCCCTGTTGCATTTGGTTCTTCTAAAACCCTCCATACTTAATCCATTTCACCAATCAGGAAGGAAGCTGGGCTGTCTGCGAGGGAGAAGCCTTGATGAGATCATCCAAATGACCAGTGACAAAACCAGGACTTGAACCCTGGGCTCTTGATCCTAAATTCAGACTGTTAAGGGAAGCCTGACCAGAGCTGGGTTTAAAATCCTCAGGCCTCAGCAGAACCCCACACTTCTCTGGGCCCCCAAAGAGTCTGGAGTTCCTGCCTGGTCACAGGCTCCTAACTGTCCCCTTGGAGAATGGTAATAGTAACAATAGCTTAATGTATAGAGCCTGTCTGAGTGGTCAGCACAAGCTATATAAGCCTCATAATTCTGTATGGTAGATACTGTAATCCCCATTTTATAGATGTAGAGACTAACTTCCCCCAAAGTTAGTCTTTGGGAACCAGAATTGAACCTAGAACCCAGACAAATGAGGCTCAGAGCCCAGCAGCCCTTCTTCCCTCTTCCTGTTTTGCAGGGGTAAGCATGGGCAAAAGAAGATCTAGTATTCCCCATCCCTCTAGGAGGGTCTGTGGCTGCTGGGAAGAGTCAGCAAGATGGCTTCAGGAATGGCAGTGGGAGCTTGAATAGGACACTCCCTGTCTCTAGGGCTGAGTGTCCTCATCTGTACAACTAGTGAGTTAAGAGAGCTAATATTTGCTGCAGCCTTTGTCAATACAAACCTTCGAGGGTTTCCTGGACCTAGGGGTCCAACTCTGCTTCCCACACTGGAGCCTAAGGAGTAGGGGCTTAGAGGCCAGGCTGAAAGTGTTCTCACTTTTCCAACCTCCTCCTATTCTAGGCAGGTTGATGGTCAGCAGAACCCTCTGGGTCTGGGGCCCAGCCAGGTGGGAGGAGGATGGAGAAGAAGCTGCCTGGGACTCATCCATTGACTGCACTCAGCCAAGGCCAAAGGGGATGAAAGAGGTCATCTCCTTTCTGGTGCAGCCAAGACCCAGGGACAGTGGGATGGAGGGGGAGCACCTCTCAACCTCTTTCCAGAGCTCACCTACCCCTTCAGCACCTGAGTCCTCAGTGAGGCAGAGACACAGAGCCCGAGCTGTTGATCCCTCAGCAGTCCAGAGCTGGGATATCTGGATAGACCTCCAGCTCTGAGCACCTATCCCTTCTGTCTGTCTCAGCCTTCTGCTGAGAGCATTGAGTGAACCCCACTGACTCCCCACTCTCTCAGCTCTGGCCTCCTGCTCATCATTTTCTATCTGGGAAAGAAATAAGAAGGCATGAAGGAAAGGGATGGGAACCTCATCTCCATCTCCAAGGCCCTCCCTTCCCGTGAAGCCCTGGGTTTGGTCTCCAGCAAACATTCTAATCTCTTATCTTTGTCTCCCCACCCACCCCTGCCCACAATTTCTCATCTACATCTTCCTTTAGGGTCATGGACTCTGCCACCCTCACTCCTCCTTCAACAAAGGCGAACACTCCAGCAGTTACAACAAGTGAGGAATGAACCTGGGCCCTGCAGAACACCTCAAGTTGGACTCTCTAGCCGTCATCAGTCAGGCATCCCAGAATCATGGATCCTGCAGGAAACTTGCCCACTCTGATCGATGTGCTCTGGAGTCCCAGGCCTCCTCACCTCCTGGGCTTAAGCAGCAAGAGAGAAAGGACTTCAGATTACCAATACTGACAGTAGCCGCCAGGTGCTGCCTGGCTGCAGGTGGGTTCCTAAACCCAGAGCCTCATCTGCAGCTAGCATCCCTCCTTAGCTAGCCTCTCTTGAGCCAGGAAGCCCCACCGGTACTCAGAGACTTCAGGCCACCTGGGAACCACATCAGCTTTGCTAATACATGGTCAGTGTCTTTGGAAGGGATTTCAGCCTCCACACCTCCCCTGGGTTGGAGACCTTATACAGCACACAACGCTGTTTCAGTCATTCTACTCCTGCTAGAGCAAGGTGCCAACTGCAGCCTGGTTCAGGGACAACCAGGAGGCCAGTAGTTGAGATGGTGGATGGTAGGCTGGGATGACAGGGGATGGGGAAGGATGGAAGAGCAATTCTTCTGGGGGAAATGGAAGAGGGCTCATGAGCCTCCTGCCTGACACAAATTATCAAGACCAAATGAATGAAAAAAGGAGGGGAAGGAGAGACATAGGACTGAGAGAGAGTAGAGACAGGAAGCGGGATGGCACTGAAGAGGCTAGATGAGGGAGAAGGAGAGACCTAGAAAGGGGGAGGAAGGACAAACCGCTAGAAGTTGTGGGGGAGAAGACCCGGCGCTGGCCCAGAGGCCTGGAAAGGCAAGAAACAGGCCAAAGCAAGAGGGAGACGGGGAAGGAGATCTGGTCTCTAGGGAAGAGCAGAGAGTGAGAGAGGAGGAGGAGGGAAGAGGCTCAGGGAGGAGGAGGGAGCGGAGATAACGGGAGCAGCCGCTGCCCGGGCCGGGAGCGGAGCGACAGGCGAGAGGGAGGGAAGCGGAAATTTAAAAGTGAAGATGCAGATAACGCAGCCTGGAGACAGGAACCCGGGTGGGGGTGGGGGGAGGAAGGGGGAGGAGAGTGGAGCAGTGATGGGGGCTGCAATGGGCGGAAGGAGGGGCTGTGGCCCCTGGGGTCCGAGGTGGGGCCGGGTACCCTGCCCCATCGCTGTTTGCTGAGAGTCAAGGAGGCTCAAAAGAAATGCGCTCCCGACCCCTATCAGAGTAGGAGGCCCAAGCCCATCCCCCGCGCGTTTCCCGGGTTGCGGGGCGCTGGGGGCTGCTGGGTGCGCTTGGCTGCGGCGCTGCTCGTTGGAGACTTTATTGCGATCGGGCGATAAGAGGGGCGGGGGCGGGGTCCGGGGGGCCGAGGCAGCTTCGCTTTAATTAAAACGGAAATTGCGGCCCCTGCCCGCGCGGGGGGCCGGAGGGTTCCAGGCAGCCTGGTAGCTGGGAGCATCGCTCCAGGACCCCCTCCATCCCCCGCCACACCCGGGCAGCCCCCTCCCGCCAGGCCCTGCCGGACCCGCGCCGTCTTCTTGTCACCCGCGGTTGCCTCGGGCGGGGATCGGTGCCCCGAGCGCAAAGCCTGACGCGTCCCCCTTTCTCATCCCCACCCCCACCTCCCACCACCCAGTCCCTGGCGGCGATGAGACAGAGCGGCGCCTCCCAGCCCCTGCTGATCAACATGTACCTGCCAGGTACCAGGGACCAGCCAGGGGCTGGAGGCACCAGGACCTGGGGCCGGAAGTTTGGGTTCGGGCATGGGAAGGGGTTGCTGGGGTCCAAGGGAACGGAACGCGGTCCAGAGACTAGGATTGCTGGGAGGACTGAGCAATGTAGGGCACTGGGGTACCTTAAAGGCAGATGGAGAGCTTTGGGGTTTTAGTGTGAGGTCTAAGGACTCAAAGTGAGGAGACTGGGAACCTGGGAGGCCGAGGGCGCGAGCTCAGCGGCTGAGGGAGCCTGGTAGGGGGAGCAGGAGTCTTCGGTGTGGCAGGGGACTGACTCAGTGCGCGTTCAGAATTGGGAAGCAGCGGTCAGCTGAGCGTCGCCCCAGCGCCCTCGTGGCTCCTCACCTCCGTGCTCCGAGCGTTCCCACCAGCCCAGCCTTCCAGGAGCCCTCCTCTCTTCTCGGATGGGCTCCGGGCGCTCCCGCTCCGCTGGCGCACTCCTTGCTCGGCTTTATAAGGCTTCCGCCGGCCCGTTCGGAAAGCGGATTTCCTTTTTCCTGGACGCGTTTCCTGACTTGGGCGTTATGGAGGGGCTCCGCGCGGCGCGCGCCCGGGCCAGGATCGGGGAGGAGGAGCTGGCAGCTCGAGCCCCTAGCCTCGCACCCAGGAACCAACCCTCAATCCCCCACCCTCCGAGCCTTGGCCCGGAGCCCTCTCAGTCAAGCCCACAACCTCCGCCCCGGTCCTCCTGACTGTTTTTTTCCTGCTGCTACAGATCCCGTCGGAGACGGTCTCTTCAAGGAAGGAAAGAGCCCCGGTTGGGGGCCGCTGAGCCCGGCTGTACAGAAAGGTGAGCTGGCCCGAGAGCAGGGGAGGGGGGGTGAGGACAGTGGACGGAGGCCGGGACACCCACCCCAGAATGACAGGTGCCACCGCTAGGAGATCGGAGGGTGGAAGGGATGTGCAATGCGGCATGACTGTGGAGAGGCTGAGGGGAGGGGGTATTCATTTGGCCTTTGGTTCCATTCCAGTATATTCTGAGTCCCAGAGCTGGACCTGCACACCAGGGCAGAGGGAGAGGATCCTGACCCTTGGCTTTTTACACTGAGGGGCCAGGACCCAGGTGCTTGGTGTCCTTCCCCTCTTGGCAGCAGGAACACAAGGCAGGGGCCACATCCGGGCAAAGGGTAATTACTCCCTGGTCACTCCACCCCTTCTCCCCACTAGCACTGGGCCAGCACCTACCTGCCTCACTGGCCCAGGCCCGCCAGGCTCTAGGGGCCAAGTCGGCTGGGCCACTGATGTTGATTCTCAGGTTTGCTGAATTACTCTTGGCTTTGCCTTGTTGGTTTCAGAGCCTGGCTGGTCCTCCAGGCAAAGCCTCTCCACAGCCTCCCCCCACCCCAGTACTCTAGATCTCACCAAGTTACAGTAACCATAATGACAACGTTAGCAACTGCTTTTTCCAAAAGGGAACATGACTCCCAAGGAGAATGGGTTTCCAAGCCTCTGGTGTCGGTCTGCGTGGGAGCCAGCTGTGCATTTTAACCTAAACCTTCCCTTAAATGTCCCTTGATCCTGACCTTAAAGCTCACAACCTGGAGTCAGGCAGCTACTGGCTGAGCTGGTGTGGAGAGACTGGGGTTGAAATGATGGTGAGGGCCAGCGTCTGAGTTCAGAGCGAGTGGTTGAGAGAGGAAGAGAGGTCCACCAGGCTTGATTTGAATCAATAATCAGACGACTTTAAGCAAAGTCCTTTTTCCCCCTCTCTCCTAAAAGAGAGTGAGAAGAAGTCAGCGTATCAAAATTTTTCTCCACTTGTTGACTGAGGCTCCAAAACAGGGGAGTGGGAATTCTCGGGCAGTGCTCTCTCTCATCGCCATCCGGGAAAATCCTGCTTGGCGCTTCCAGCAATCCCCAAATCGGACCGCCCGGCCCCATGAGCCCAGAAATGGCCAAAGATGAGAGGAGGCAGGGAGTCAAGCCCAGAGGCTTTCCGGTCTTATCTCCTCTCTTCAGAGCTGTGCATCGCGCCCCAAAGTAGGACACCTTCCCATGCTGGGAATCCCGGCTGTTCCGAAAACCCGGGCGGAAACCGAGCAGCGCCAGCGCGGCGCTCCGCACCCGGATCCTGAAGATAGTGGGGAGCCTTCAGAGTCTGACCCTCCTAACCCTAACCTCAGGCGGGGCCGATCCAACTGTAGCCTTTGGCCTAGGCCTCGTCTAGTGGCCGGGTGGTCCCGTGGCACCGCGGTCTCTTCCCCCGGACTTGAGGACATGGTCCAGCTGGACATGTGGCCGTCTAAGCACCTGCGCAGTCTACCCTGTGCGGTCCCGTAGGCTCCTCTCTGCTCCGAATAAGGGCGCAGGCCCACGGTGGCAATAGAGGCCAGTGTTCGGCCCTTGCTGGCTTCCCAGAGTCGCGGGCCCCGGTGCGCCGCTGCCTCCACGCCGAGGAGGCTGTGCTTCGCCCCCCGCCCCCATTCTCACAAAGCCAGGAGCCCGCGGGGCTTCGTCCTTCTAAGAGGGAGCACAATGTTTCCATTGTGCAGAAGCACGGGAAAGGCTCAGGACCGCTGGGCCCATCAGCCCCCCCCCCCCCCCCCCCCCCCCCCCCCCCCCCC